GATAATGTTTATCATATATATTTCTTTAAAACTTTTTTCCGTTAATCGAATATTTATTTTCCTGAATTTCAACAAATCATTAGCTTACAAATCTACACAATTGTTTTTGTTTTTTTTTTTTCAATTTTTTTCTGAAGAGGGGTTAAAATTTTTAAACTTGTTCTGTATTTTAACCAGCCGCGCATCATTTCTGTGTTTTCAGCAGCCACGCATATCCACTGAGACACGCGGCTGCTATGGTTCAGTGGTTAAGGCACTGGGCAGGTGCTGATCACATAGTCACAACCATGCCGTTGGTCACGGAATTCTGGAACCTTATACTCCATGACCCCTGGCTCACAAAGGGCTGTTGCGGGAATGTTTTACATTTTTTTAAGAATCATTTATTTATTTATGTAGATAATAAGAATATAAAATAATATTAATACATTTATATGCACATTAATACAACTGATATGATCAAATTCTGAAATATTCCAACTTTGAAGTATTAATCCTAAGTTTAAAATTGCTACCAATTTTACTCTTTAATTTCTATTGAGAAATATGAGAAAATGAGTTTTTCAGATATACTTAACTCGCAAAGTATTTTTATATCGAAATTTCAAACTTAAAACAAGTCTTGATATACATACATTGTTTCAGCAAAAAAATAAATTTAAAATAAATAAATAAATTCAAAAATATGCCGTTTAATTAAATCGTTTGTCCCGTGATTTTTCTTTTCTTTTCAATTTATTCAATTTTATACTTTTTCAAATTAAATAAATCTATAAGTGTAACATTGATAATATCGTTTTCACGAAGAATTTCATTTCTTTTTAAAGTATTATTTTTCACACATTAAACTATTACACAAAACTATGTAGTTGGTATTTATTTTGCAGCATTTATGTGTGATTTATATAGAAATATTAAAGTTATTTCCAAAAAATAGCATACGAAAAAAGTGAACGAAGAATTCATTTGTAACTATAATATTTTCACTGAAAAGAAAACTAATCATAACATATATCAGTTACCAACCCAATGCTCCAAATCAATTATAATACCCCATAGAAAGTGCATCTATCTGATAAAAGTAATGTTTCGGTTGGTTATTACTAAAATTCCTTCTTAAAAAACCCGTCACGTACACCCGCCTTCTACAGGAAACATCTCTAACATGACACCTTCGACATTTTACGCTTTTCCAAACAGTCGGAACTACAATTAAAGAACAATACTCTACAAACAATCCGCCTTTTTTCCCCCATAACAATGACTTTTTTCATTGCTTTTCACTCTCTATCGTGTCTCTGTACGGCACGAAATCGGGACTTTTGTAGTATTAAAGATCTATAACATAACCAGAAAACCTATCATTACTAGTAGTGAATGTGTACAAAAAGAACTGTTATTAAGAATGCGATTATTGAGTTGGTGTGGTTGGGATTCAGATATTTAGGTGGAATTCGTTACGCGCTTGCATGATTTGGAGATGTGTAGATTTTGTAATTCCACTGTGTCTCGAAGCGATAGATATTCAAAAGCTTCTGTTGCATTCCATGGAAATTTGGGGGAAGGGGAACAAAAATATACGCTTGTTCATAATTACTAACTAAAAGCCTTCTTTTTAGATCCTGTTTACCTTTTTTGAGTCTGAACGGGACTTTGTACCTCAGATGAAATATTTCTTGGCAAATTCTGTTTTATTTAAATTAATGAACTAAATTTTAAAGTATAGAAAAAAGTGAATTCCTGTTTACTAGGAGTAAACCATGAAGTATCAAATGCTGAAGCTTTCTTCTTCTTTTTTTGTCTTTCAAAATATCAAAATGCTGATAAATTACGGCAGGATAACTTCCCTGCAGCGTAATCCTGACATAATTTGTTCGCATTTTGATATTTAAAAAAAAAAATATTTCAGCATCTGACATTTCACGGTTTATTCTAGGTTTACATAAACTCCCTTTTTTCTTTACTTTAAATTAAAAACTATTTATGTAAATAAAACAGAATCTGCCATAAAATATTTCTCCTGTGGTATAAACTGTTCTTCGTAGGCATTGATTTCCTGTTATAAAAGCACTTTTAAGCAAAAAATTCGCAACTTTCATAATAGCTGGGTATTTTTAACAGTTATGCATGGTTGTTAGGTTAAGTTTTATCCATTTTCAACCAGCGCCCACTATGTTCTTTCAAAAATGAAGCAAAAGGTTGATATTACAGATATCTAAAGTTGATAATTATCTATTTTTTTAATATTTTAAAATTTTATCTACCACTTCAATGTTTATGCTTATAAAAATAAGTAAAAAATAACGAATAATTCATTGATTTATAAATTATAGTGTAAAATGTAAAATTTCGCCAATTTGTTTTTTGAAAACGTAATTTATATTAAACTCCAGACAATTAATTTTTCATCAAGCTAGTAGTTTAAAATTAAAACGTTGCTTCGAATTTGTTGGTTTTTAAATTCAATTAAAGTTTACTTTTTCTTCATATCTTTTATTCTCAATAAAATACTAATGATGCATTATTATTGTAAACTAGAATACGTTTGCTGACCGTCTTTGCAATTCAAAGTTTTTTACAACTTTTATCCCATACAAAGTATATTCCTGTACTTTAATGTAATCCAATAAATTTAGAACTTGTGCATGAATTTTTTTTATTTACAATACTAGAAGACTTTTTAATGTAAAAAAAATTCTCAGAATTAATGTTACCTCCAGAAGAAATATGAGCGAAAGGTGCTTACAAATATAAGCTTATAGTATTACTATCAAAACTTTAAAATTTCGAACATTTTTATAATTTTTCAGTCTTAAGCGCCTATCTAAGACGTTTTGGTTTTCAAATGAAATTATTTATCACTATTTCTCACGTTTTTTTTTAATTTTCAACAAAACAATTTATACAATATCCTTACAAGAGCCATGGTGGCTCAGGGGATAGAGCGCTCGCCCTCCAATGAGGTAACCCGGGTTCGAAGCTCAACTATGGCTGCTCGGATTGGGTTCAAAATTACAAGACTAAGATTACATTGGTAGTTATAAACTCTAAATTGGGTCTGCTATTCATATAATATAAAAATATAAAATAAAATAAAATATTCTTATAAGCTAAAATACGTTCTTTCCTTGCATATGAAATTCAAAAATGCGAAATTGTATAAATTTTTTATTGCTCTAACCTCAAGCAAAATATGCTAATCTAGAAGCTTTCAAATATACTTTAGACAACTAATGTCCAGGAATCATCTGTTAAAAGGTGAAACGTAATATTGGTACCTTAAACCATAATACGAAGTAAATTAGTTACAACTTTAATAAGGTGTTAAAATTAACAGTGTTACTATTCAAATTTAATCATAGCATCATTTAATCTTCTTTGAGAAGCACAAGAGTATGGTTTAACATAGCTCAATATTAAGGTCGCTCTTAAAAGCTAAGTTAAAACTTTTAGATTAGCTGCTTTAAAAAAGCAATAAAGAGATAGCTATTATAAAAATGAATTATTTATAGTCTCGAATGAAAAGCTCACCTTTTAAGCAATAGAAAACTAACAGAAACTCATCTTTTGAGTGGTAGAACAAAACAAAAACTGAACTGAATTAATTTTTAACTGGAATTCCATAAAATAATGCAAACGATATTATAATCGATATAAAAAAAATTGTAAATAATAAAAATGTTTAGAAATATGCAAACGATAGTTTTTTGATAAAATACTTTACAGTCGCAGCTGATATAAACGAGAGCTATCGTATAACACGCTCAAAAATCAACACTCTCAAAATGTAAATTTAAAACTTTCTTGCAATAAACTTTAACTGAATGACCAAAAAATTGTTTTACTTGAATGCTTTTTAGCATTAAAAAAATCTGATTCAAATTTTGCAGTACTTTTCCAACCTCTCATAGTTCCGATATTAAAAATTTTTAATCACAAAAAAGACAAAAAGTTTTAAACACAGTGCATGAACGATTTTTTTTTTTCGTATTCGTTTTATAATAATTTTTTTTTCTCAACCCTATATACCTTTTCCTTACTATAGAATAAGGGAAGAGGGAATAGTAAAGAAATAAATTTTAAATTCTAGAGACAATCACTCACGGAAGGACAAAACTAAAGTGAAAATATGAACAGAGAAAATATGTAAAGCACTAGCGGTCTTTGGGGACAAGGCTTGTCACCTTTCAAAATTATCTTGCACAACATAAATAAATTTTAATGGTAACCAAGCGGAATGAACAGCACAAATGTATTTAAATATTCTAATTCTTCGACTCTTCCTCTAATACTAACACCTTAATTAGTTATAAACAATGTATTAATCAAATTTTTTCACCATCTGGTTGTTGCCCGCACTGAGGTACTTTGATTTCAATTTTAACTATTCTCAAGAAGTGTCTGCGATATTGTCAAAATTCTTAATGTATTGAATTCCAGAAGCCATTAAATACCTAAGTATGAGTTAGGCACATTTGAACAAAATAGGCAACAGAAGTATGGAAATTTTTTCCATCTCCGTTGTAAGATAAGAAAGAAAACTCATCCCAATACTCCATTTTGTGCTGTACTACTTCCTCTTGCTCCCCTCGAGCCATAACTTCAACATCGTATATATCTATATGCTATTGCTCAAAAACGGCGAGCTCCTTCATCATTAATTGGCATGAAAGTATGCGGCACCATAGCACCGTATATTTTAAAATTTCGACAGCCATTTTAGGAAGGATCAAAAATAAATCTAAATAATTCTT